GATCCTTGGGGTTGGGGTTGGGATCAGGAATGAGATCCTTGGGGTTGGGGTTGGGATCAGGAATGGGAATGAGATCCTTGGGGTTGGGAATGGGGCCTTCTGATGGGCCAGGGCCTTTGGGTGTCGGGGATGCTGCAGGGCACACAGTGGTGAGTCCTGGGGTTGGGATCCTCGGGGTTGGGAGTGGGAGGAAAATGGGACTAAAGAACAGGATTGGTAAAACCCTAACACTAAACCTGAGGGGTCTTTGGGGAGATCTGGGGGGTCTTTGGGAGGTCTGAGGGGTCTTTGGCAGGGTCTGAGGGGTCTTGGGAGGTCTGAAAGGTCTTTGGGAGGGTCTCAGGGGTCTTTTAGGGGTCTGAGGGTATCTGGGGCATCTGAGGGGTCTTGGAGGGGTCTGAGGGGTCTCTTCCCCATCCCTTTTCCAGGTGCACGTCATTCCTGCTGCTGAAATCCCAGCTGGAGCTGCAGCAGGGGGAGCTGGAGCTGAGCCAGCTCAACCTCCAGCACACCCTGTTCCTGCTGCAGCCCCACCCAGGTGAGACCCCCGGGATGCGGGGGGGGGGTTGAGGGGCGGGGGGGGACCCCCAAGCTTGGGGGGATCCTGGGGGTCCCCAGTTTTGGGATCTACCTCAGGATCCTTCCTGGATCTGGTGCTGGAGCACCCAGGGTTGACCTTGAGCTGGGCAAGTGTGGGATTCAGGTTGGATCCTTGGGCTGGAGGACCCCAAATATCCCTCCCTTCCTTCCATCCGGAGTTTAAATCCAGAAAGGAGAGTATTGGATCCAGGTTTCTCAGGCTGAAGGACCCCAAATTAACCCTCCCTTCCCTTTCAGAGCCCAAACCCCCCCCAGGAGCCCCTGCTCCCACTCAAGATCCACCCGAGGAAGGGCCACATGGAGCCGAGGAGGCGCTGGGACCACCCCAAAAACCCCCCGGGGGAGGAGGACGAGGGGTTCCTAAAGGGCCCTGCCCTGGAATTCGTGGCTCCTTCGAGCTCCCAGGACCCTCTGGGTGCCCTCACAGCCTCCCCCAAGCTGAAACCTGGGAAGAAGATGAGCCTGGCCTTCCTCTCCCACCCCTGGAGCTGCCCCTGCTGCCTCTGCTCAGACCTGGTGGTGTCGGTGCTGGGCCTGCGCTGGGCCCTGGCCCAGGCCCGGGGCCGGGTCCTGGCAGGGGAAGGGGCTGCGGGGGTGGCCCTGGTGAGGAGGGTCCTGCCCCGCTGTGCCGGGGTGGGCCACAGGTTTGCCAGGGAGCTCAGCAACAGGCTGGGGGGACACCATGGAAAAGGGGAGCCCCCCGGGGACAGGGACCACCCCAGGAACCAGGACATCTCTGGGAATGGGGACCCTCCTGGGACTGGGGACCCCACCAGGGACAGGGACCCCCTTGGGAACCAGGACCTGGGGCTGCAGGACCCCTGTGAGGACCAAGACCCTGCTGAGAACTGGAATCTGCCCACCCTGGACCCCCAGAACCCCTCCAGAACGAGACCCCAGCCCACCCTGGGCCTGCTGGACGAGCTGGTGGCCATGGGCTACTCCACGCTGGCCCTGCAGAGCCTGAGCAGCGCCGGGGGGGCTCTGGGACCCCCAGGACGAGGAGCTGGAGTGGGGATTGGCCTTCCTGGGGTCCTGCAGCCCCCACCTGCCCAGCCTGGGGGTCTCCAGGGCCACCCTCCTGCTGGCTAAGGCCATGGCCACCCTTGGCCACCTGGCCACCAAACTGGGCCTCTCTGTGGACGATGTCCTTGCCCAGGGCTGGACCCTCCAACTGCAGCCTCCCCCCCAAAAAAAGACCCTGAAAGACTCCAAGGCTGAACCCCAAAAGCACAAACCCGCCCCCCCCCAGGCCAGGGGGGTGAAGCCCCGTGGGGTGGAAACCCCCAAGCAGAAGCCCTCCAAGGAGAAGCCCCCCAGAGTGAAGCCCCCCAGGGTGAGCCCACCCAGCCCCCAGGACGTGTTTGCTCCGGGGGACTTGGACTCTGAGGTTGTGCCCCCCATTGTCATCAGGGGGCCCTGCACCCCCCACCCCAAAGCTTTTCCCTCCTTCCCGGGGCTCCCCAGCCTCCCCAGGACCCCCTTCACCATCTACAACGAGGCCTCACCCCCTCCTTGCAAGGCTCAGCTCAGCAGAGCCCCCAGAGCCCAGGGGAGGGTCAAGTCCCGCCTAAAGGTCAGTTTTGGGGGGGGAAAAGCTTGGGGGATTTTGGGGGGGGGGAAGGTTGGGAGGGAAGGATTGGAGTGAAAAGTTTTGGGGGGGGAAGCTTGAGGGGGGGAAATTGTGGGGGAAAAGTTTGAGAGAGGAAAGTTTGGGGGGAAGTTTGGGGAGGGAAGGTTTTGGAGGGGGAGAGGTTGAGATGGGAAGTTGGAGGGGGGGAAAAGGTTGGAGGGGAAAAGGTTGGAGGGGGAAACTTGGGGGGGAAAATGTTTTGGGGGCAAAACTTGGGGAGGCAAAGAGAGGGGGGAAGGTTGAAGGGGAAAAATGGGGGGAAAGCTGAGGGGTAAAGTTTGGGGTGCCCCCCCAAACCACCCCTGACCCCCCTGTTCCCCCTCTTTCAGGTGACATTCAGTGATGACAGCGACCTGGAGGATCCCAAAGCCCCCCCCGAGTGCCTCAACCACCCGAAAAACATCCTGTGCCCGCAGGAGGGGGCAGCCCCCCAAGTCCCCAGGATCCCCCCCAAATGAGCCCCCCAGGAATGGGGGTCAGACGACAGAGGGGGAGGCCCAGGAAGGACCAAGGAAGCCCTCAAAAAGTGGCTCAGGAGAAGAAGGAAAGGGGGACACGCTGGGCTGGGGGTTCCAGGAGGAAGAAGGAGCAGGAGACCCCCCAAAATGTGGCTCTGGAGAAGAAAAGGGGAACCCGCCGGGCTGGGGGTCCCAGGGGGAAGAAGGAGCAGGAGACCCCGCAAAAAGGGGCTCAGGAGGAGAAAACAAAGCAGGGACCTCCCTCTCAGGGGGTGCTGGAGGGGCTGAACTCCCTGAGGGCCGTGGGAGAAGAGGAGGAGGAAGAGCTACGGCGCAGCTTCGAAACCTTGCAAGTCTCCCAGGAGTGGGGGGGACCCCCAGGTGAGTTTTGGGGCCGATTTGGGGGGGTTCTGTCCCCAGATCTGTCCTCAGCCTGGGGTTGAAGCCCCTCTGTGTCTCCCCCACCCCACAGGGAGGGTCCAGCCCAAGGCCAGTGAGGATGTCCCAGGCAGGGGGGACCCCCCACTAGGTTTGGGGGCACCCCTGCCCATGGCTAGAGGTGAGAATCTGGAATTTGGGGGATTTGAGGGGGGGGGGGGGGAAGGTCTTGCTGGGCATTTATTGATTTCCAACTTCATTTATTTCCCTTCCCTAAGAACTTCCTTCCCTTCCCCAGGGGTTTCTTTTTCCCCAGGAGTTTCCTTCCCTTTTCCAGGAGTTTCCTTCCCCCCAAACTTGCCTTTCCTCACCCAAAACTTGCCTTTCCCAAAACTTGCCTTTCTTAGAGCTGGGGGCTGAGGCCATGGTGGGTTCCCCCTTCTGTCCCCTCCCCTCCCTGCTCCTCCCATGGTGTCTGACCCCACTCTGGAATGTCCCTGGGGTTTCACTGTCCCCTCTCTGGGGTGTCCCTGACCCCTCCCTGAGGTTCCTGACCCCACTCTGGGTGTCCCCGGGGTGTCCCTGACCCCGTCCGTGGTGTCCCCTCTCTTTCCCCCCCAGGTCACCCATCCCTGGACTCAGTTTTGGAGCTGCTGCAGGAGGCCCTGGGCTGGATCAGCCACTTCCCCCCGGGGTCCCTGTACGGGGGGCTGTGCCAGCTGCTGGCCCTGCTCACGGGGGACAGGGACCCCCTGGGCACAGCAGGGCTGCTGTCGGAGTCCCTGTGTGTCACCGCCCGCCACCAGCTGCTGGGCATCCTGCACAGCCGGGCAAGGTGGGTGTCCCCTCCCTGTGTCCCCTTCCTTCATCCCCAGGGCTTTGGGCCCCGTTCCATTGCCCCATCCCAATGTCCCCCCTCTTCCCCACCATCCCCATCCCACCATCCCCCCGTCCTGGGGCAGGGTCTCACCCCACACTCCCCTCACCCTGCAGAGGTCATTTTGGGATGATTTCTCCTTCACCTTTGAGATGATCCCCTCTCACCTTTGGGACAATCCCCCCCCCTCACCTTTGGGATAATCCCACCTCACCTTTGGGATGATCCCCCCACTCAGGAAGAAGAGGAAGAAGGAGAAGTTGGGGGGGCACGTGTCGGAACAGCTCCGGGGCCTTTCCCTGCGGGAAGGGGGGGACCCCCCCCAGCCCTGCCCCCGCCTGGCCCAGCTCGAGGGGCTCTTCCAGTTCAGCACCTCGGGGCTGGGGGCTCCAGAGAGGGAACAATTCCGGGAGCAGATCCAGCAGATCCCCAGTGGTGAGTCCACGGGGGCCACTGGGACCAGCACTCAGCACTGGGGAGGGGGATCCTGAACCCTGGGGGGGGGCTTGCGTGTCCCCCTGTGCAGGATGTGGAGGGGCTGGAGATTGAGGAAAACAAGAAAGGGCTGGAGAAGGAGGGAAAGTGGCTGCAGAAGAAGGAAAAAGTGCCCTGGGGAGGTTGTCTGTGGTGCCCTGGGGGGTCTGTGATGTTTTGGGGGGGGCCTCTGGTGGCTGGGGGGGTCCCTGACCTCATGTGTCCCTAGGGGTGACCGTGGTCCTGCTGGCCCTGGGCAGCCCCTACCCGGGGGCCGTTGGGGACACTCTGCTCCTGACGCGGCTGGAGAGGGACATGGAGCCCCTGAGCATCCGGATCCCCACCCACAGGTCCCAGGTGAGGGCAGCAGGGGCATTCCAGGGGCTAGGATCCGTCCCCAGCCTCCTCCTCATCCTGGGGAGGAGCAAATTCGCATTCCAGGGGCTGGCATCGTGGACCACCCTCATCTTCATCCTGGGGAGGGGGCACCCCCCATTCCAGGATCCCTTTAGGGAGTCACTCACCATTTCAGGGAGTGGGATCCCTTTAGGATGTCCCCCCACCATTCCCAGATCCTTGATGCCTCCCCCTCCAGGCCCCCCTCAGCTCCATCCTGAGGGAATTTGAGTCGATCCAATGCGAGCAGAAGGAAGCCAACGGATGCACAGACAAGCAGGAGTGGTGGTCACGGCGTTCCCGGCTGGACCAGAGGATGAAGGTGGGAAGACCCCCCAAACCCCCAAATTTGGGATGGGGGGTCCTGACTCCTCTGAGTGACTTGTCCTGGAGTTGGATCCCGTTACCTTTTGTACCTCTCCCTATCCCCTTCTCTGTGTCTCCCTTTCCCTTTTCCACATCTCCCATTCCCATGTGTCCCATTCCCACCTCTTCCATTCACGTTCCCACCTCTCCCCTTCTCTTTTCCGCATCTCCCACTCTCTTTTCCACGTCTCCCATTCCCTTTCCCATGCCTGCCATCCCCTTTTCCCATTCCCAGACCCTCATCCAGAGCCTGGAGTCCCATGTTTTGGGGTGCTGGCGGGGGCTGCTCCTGCCCAGGCCCCCTGGGAGCTCCCCCAGCTTGGCCGAGGAATCCTCCCGACTCATCCCGGAGCTGCGGAACTGCGGCTGGAACGACCCCGACCCCGCCCTCGTCCAGGTGGGTGGCCTGGGCTGGGATCTGGGGGGGGGTGATCCTGCAATTTGGGGGGGCTGAGCCCAGGATTTGGAGGGGCTGAGCTGGGATTTTGGGTGCTGATCCTGGATTTTGGGGTACTGACCCCAGATTTTGGGGTGCTGACCCTGGATTTTGGGGTGCTGACCCCTTTGCCCCCCAGGTGCTTCTGAATGGGGCCCCTGCACTGACCCCCCCCGATGTCCAGGCCTTGGCCTTCGGCCTCTGCCCGGCCCGGCCCCTCCGGGCACGGCTGCTCCTGGAGGAGGCCCTGGAGGGGGCCCTGGAGAGGGACCGAGGGGACAGCGGGGGGTCCCTGGTGCTGCTGCTGGACAAGGTGAGACCCCTGGGGCTGCTGCTTCATCCTCATCATCCTCACTCCTTCCTCACACCTTCATCCTCATCCCCACACCTTCCTCACCCTCCTCCTCCTCCCTGGCAGCACCTGCAGCGTCTCCCCTGGGAGTCCCTCCCGGCCCTCGGGGCCGTGCCGGTGACGCGGCTCCCGGCCCTGCGGTTCCTGCTCAGCTACATGATGGCCCAGCAGGTCAGGGGGGCACAGACCCCCGGGACACCCTCCCTGGCGGGTGGGGGGACCCCCTGAACCCCCCTTCCCAGGGTTTGGGGACCCTCCATCCCCCATTTCCGGGGTTTGGAGTGTCTCTGTCCCCTATTCCCAGGGTTTATTCCCCCATTCCCACATTCCCTGTCTCCCCCAGAGCTCAGGGTCCGTCCTGGCCCGGGGGGGTGAACCCCAAAAGCACCTTCTACGTCCTGAACCCCCACAACAACCTGGGGGGGCACCGAGCAACGTTTCCGGGCCTGGTTCGAGAGGTCAGAGCACCTTTGAGGGGCTGGGGGGAAGTGGGGCTGCACCCCAAATCCTGACCCTATAACCCCTGGGGGGCTGCAGCCCAAATCCTGCCCCTGTCCCCTCTGTGTGAGGGTTCTGCCCCCCAGATCTCCCCCTAACCCCCCTATCAAAGGGTCTGCACCCCAAATCCTGCTCCTATCCCCCTCCTGGGGTGGGGTCTCACCCCCAAATCCTGACTATTTCCCCCCAGTGAGCCAGGGGAGGGAGAGGTCTGCACCCTAGATTCTCACCCTATACCCCCCAGCAAGGAGTTTGCCCTCCAAATCCTGCTCCAAATCTGCCCCTGTCCCCTCTGGGGTGACTCTGGCCCCCAAAATCCGCCCTGTCCCCCCCAGTGAGCCGGGCTGGTGCGGCGTGTCTGGCTCTATCCCGACCCCGGAGCAGATCCAGGAGGCCCTTCTGGAGCATGACCTGTACATGTAAGTGGGATTTTGAAGGGTTCCTAGGGGGTCCCTGGAGGGTCCTGACCCCCCCCGGAGCTTGGAGTCAGTTCTGCACTGAGGGGGTGAACCCCAACAGCACCTTCTCCCCCTTCCCTGGGCTTTGGGGACCCCCTGTTCCCCATTTCCGGGTTTTTGGGAACCCCTGGGACTCACTCCGGGGGTCCGTGTCCCCCAGCTATGCAGGGCACGGGTCGGGGGTGCGGCTCCTGGACAGACAGACCCTTTCCCGGCTGGAATGTCGAGCTGTGGTGCTGCTCTTCGGCTGCTCCAGCGCTGCCCTGGCCCTGAGGGGGGGCCTGGAGCCCACCGGGACCGTGCTCAGATACGTCATGGCCGGGTGGTGAGTCTGGGGGGGTCCGGGGGGCTTTGGGAGGATCTGGGGTGTATCTGGGGTGATTTGGGGGGGATCTGGGGGGCCTGGAACCCACCGGGACCATTCTCAAATACATCATGGCCGGGTGGTGGCTCTGGGGGGCTCTGTGCCTTTGGGGGGCTCTTGGGCTTTGAGGGGGCTCTGCATGCTCAGTTTGAGGGGGGCTTTGGGAATTTGGAGGGTCTCTGTGACTCTGGGGGTCTCTCCACGCTCACAGCCTGTGTTGGGGGGGCCTCTCCCCCCTGTTTTGCAGCCCCCTGGTGCTGGGGACGCTGTGGGATGTCACTGACCGGGACCTGGACCGCTTTGCCCAGGCCCTGCTGCGAGGTTGGCTGGGGGGGGGGGCCCGGGACCCCCCTCCTGCCCCACCTGTCCCGGGCCCGCCAGGCCCCCCGACTCAAATCCCTCATCGGGGCTGCGCCCGTGGCCTACGGGCTGCCCGTGAGCCTCAGCTGAGGGGGGTCCCTCCCATTGCTTGTGGTGTGGGCTGGAGGGTCCCCCAGTTGGTTTTGGGTCCCCCCTGTTACCTACAGGCTCCTCATCTCCCTGTGGGGATGGTTGGGGGTTTCCCCTCATTGTTTGGAGATCCCTTTGTTACCTTTGGGGTCCCCCCATTGCCCTGCTGAGGATTTTGGGGTCCCCCACCACCATGGGGCCTTTTGGGGTAGTCTCTCTCTGTTTTGGGGTCCCTGTGCCTGTTTTGGGGAGTTTTGCACGCCTTAATTTATTTTAATGAAATTGGTTTTATTCGAGTTTCTTCAACAATGACATAAATAAAAGCTGCTGCCTCTTTATCCGACCCTCACCCCGAGCGTTTCTGAGCCCCCAAATCCCACTGGGCTTCCCCAAGTTTCTCTGGCCCCCTCAAGTTTCCCAGGGTCCCCTCAGGTCTCAGGGTCCCCTCCAGGTCTCTCATTAAGACCACCCCCCTTTCTCCTGGGGGGAGCATTAGGACACCCCCTTTTCCCATGGGGGGGGCATTCAGACCCCCTTTCTCTGGGGTCGGATCCCCCCCTTTCTCTGGGGAGCATCTTGGACCCCCCCTTTTCCCTATGGGAGACCTTGGATCGCCCTTTCTCTCGAGTGGAGGGGGCTTTATGACTCCCATTTTTTGCGGGGGAACATTAGGACCCCCCTTCTCGCGGGAGGGGGCGGGAGGGGGGCATTAACACCCCCCCTTTCCCGGGGTGGGGTGGGCATCAGGACCCCCCCGCAGTCCTCCAGCCCGGCAGGGGGCGTTGTCTCCCTGGGGGGGGGGGGGGTAGGGGGTGGAGTGTTGTCGGTCCTCCAGCCCGGCAGGGGGCCCTCTCACGCCAGGGCGTGTCCTGGGGCGGGGCGGCCCAAGATGGCGCAGACCGTGAGCGTGGGGGAGCTGGGGCTGCCCCAGCTAGAGCTGCTCAAGGGGCAGCTGGACCAGGTCTAGGGAGCCGGGGGGGCTATGGAGGGTGTGGGGATCGGGGCGGGGGCGGGGTCTGAGGGTCAGATGGGACTGCCCCCTGTGGACCAGGTTTGGGGAGTCGTGGAGGGGTCCTGTGAGGGGCTGGGGGGCTTTGGGGATCGGGGGGGGTCTGGGGGTCCCAGCTGGAGCTGTTCAAGGGGCAGCTGGCGCAGGTTGGGAGATCCTGGGGGGTTATGGCGGTCTGGGAGGGATTATGGGGGGGTCCTGAGGGCTGGGGGGGCTTTGGGGATCAGAGGGGGCTCTGGGGGTTTTGGGGGGTCCCAGCTGGGGCTGCTCAAGGGGCAGCTGGAGCAGGTGTGGGGGGATTGGGGGTCCTGGGGGATTATAGGGGGCTGGGACGCGTTATGGGGAGCTTTGGGATCGGGGCTTCTTCGGGGCTGGTGGGGCTCTGGGGGAGCCCTCTCTGCTCCCCCACCAGCCCTGGGGACCCCCGAGCCTCACTAAAGCCCCCCCGTGCCCCCCCCAGGAGGTGGAGTTTCTCTCCTCATCCCTGGCCCAGCTCAAGGTGGTCCAGACCAAGTTTGTGGAGGCCAAGGAGTGTCTGAACGTGCTCAACAAGGGCAACGAGGGTAAGGGGGGCCCCAACCCGGGGGGCCTCAGGGGGGGCCCTTGGGGGGATACAGGGGATCCCGGGGGGGGGGCTGGGGGTGGCACAGAGGGCTTTGGCTGCTTGGGAGGGCCCTGGGAAGGTCTCAGGGGGGTCCTTGGGAGAGTTGGAGGGCCCAGGGGGTGCTGGGGGTGGCTCAGGGGGGTCCTGGGGACTGTTTGGGATCACGGGGGGTCCTGGAGGGGCTTCTGGGGGGTCCTAGGTCTCTGTAGGGG